GGGCGCGTGCACGCGGCTTGCGGCCCCGGCGTGAGGGCACCCCGTTGCAGCCGTCCTTCTTGAGGTGTCTGTGCAGGTGGTCGGAGCGCACGAAGGTCTTGCAGCAACTGTCGCACTGGTAGGGCCGCAGGCCCGTGTGCACGCGCATGTGGTTCTTCAGGTCGTAGTTGTGGGCGAAGGCCGCCCCGCACTGCTGGCACAGGTACGGCTTCTCGCCCGTGTGCTTCCTCATGTGCACCTTCAGCTTGTCCTGCCTGCGGGGTGGGCACGCGGGGCTGGGTCAGAGGGGGGGCTCGGCCACAGGGCCCGTGGGCGGGGCGCTGGACGCCTGGGCCCTGCTCTTGGGACGAGGGGAAAACAAGGCAAGGCAGATGGCCAGCCCCAGTGTCAGTCACGGGGGAGCTGAGCTCACCACAGCCCCTCATGGCGCCCAGGCCCCACCAGTCCCCTCTTCTTCCCCTCTGGTTGCCCCAGGACCTTTGCACGTGCTATGCTGGCCAATGGACACACTTCTTCCCCGAGCCCTATCACCAAACACAGGCTCAAATGCCACCACCTCTCGTGGCCCACGATGCCCCCATCTTGCCCTGTGCTGCTCACTGCTTTCCTTTTGTTTTTCTTTTCTGCTTTTGATCTGAGACTAGGGCTCCTTACTATTTGACACTTTTGCTCTTTGGCTGGCGCTCTACCACCTGAGCCATGCAACCCGTGCCGTTATTTCTCACAGTCTCTCCTATGAGCCCCAAGGCCTCTCCCTGCCCATCGTACCTGCTCAGCCTGCTGTCTTTGGACCAGGCGTACTTGAACCCTAAGGCGGCTCCTAAGCCCCTGCAACGTGGCCAGGGCCGCTGAGGCACGAGAGGCTGCACTTCATAAATTCGCTACCCGGATACCCAGCCCCGCCCACATGCCCACAGGCACCTGGTAGGTTCCTGACACCCTCACTAAGATGGGGGTGGAGTCCTTCTGGAAATCTACAGGGCTGGAGCAGATCCTGGGTCTCAGGAGCCCTAGTGACTAATCTCTGACTTGCTGACAAACTCCTACGCATCCCTCAAAAGCCCACCTTGAATGCCCCTCTGCCTTCCCAGCCCCTGAAGGCCTGGCACCTTCAGTCCCAGGCCTTTCCCAAAGGGCACAGTGCAGGGCTGATAGCCCCACTTCCTCTAATCCTGCCATGCCTGGCACTTGGGTCTTAAAGTCTCCACCCTGCCCAGCTCTGTTGTCCCACTGGGCTGCAGTACTGCTCACTCCGGGCTGTCCGGGACTGAGGCCCACTCTTGAGCACTCGCAGAGGCTCCTGCTCAGAAGCTGGCTCAGTGTCCCAGCTCCCCGGCCTGGAGGGCACAGCTTGGACTAACGTGTTCTAGCATGTAGTGCTAGCATGTAGTCCCCGCTGGGACTAGAGGCTCAGAGAGAGGAAGTGAGTCTCCTGATGTTGCACAGCAGCCAGGGGCTGGGCACAGAGGCAGAGTGGGGGTGGGAGGCAGCCCCGGCCTGGGTAATTATAGCCCAGGCTGCACAGGCCCCACTTACTCAACACGCCGCCATGACTCAGAGGGGCCTCTGGGCTGCAGGCCTAGAGGGGGCGGGGGGGGGGGCGCTGGGGCCCTGGGCTGGGGGCACCAACGGGACGTGGGTGTGCCAAAGAGCAGGGGCTTCTCTGAATGAAATTTCCCTATGCCTCAGTTTCCCTGACTACTAAGGAGACAGACTGGCCAAGGACCAGTGGGGGGGTGGCAGAACACACACCAACTCAGAATGAAACCAAGCCGGGCCCAGGGCTGGGGCGGCTGCAGCCCCAGGGACAGGTCAGCAGCGGCTCAGGCGGCCACGGGGCTGCCCCGCCCCCGCCCCCCAGCCCCGCCCCGGCTCTTCCTGCAGACGGCAGCACCTGCGCCTTTCACCGCAGGCTCCGCCCCCCGCTCGTGCTCTTTGCCCCCACCTGGCACTCCCAGGCACTGGAGTTCAGGCCGCGCCCTGCTCTCCAGCCCGTGGGTGGGGAGGGGTCTGGCGTGCTGGGGAGGGGGCAGCCTCAGGTCCCGCTCCGCAGGGTGGGACCAGGAAGCTGGGACAATGGCTTCTTTCTTCAGCCTCGGTGGGCGTGGCCAGGGGAACCCCAGGGCGGGCTGGCAGGGGGGTAGGGGTGACGCTGAGTCACCCAGCCTGGCAGGGTCCCTGCCTGCCTGTGCCCACCCCCACACACACGGGCCTGGCCTGCCCTGGGTCCACGGCCAGGCCGGCCACCTCTGGACTCCTAAGACTCAATCACAAAACTATCACAGACTGGCCTCGAACTCTTCCCACTCCGGGACAGCGCCCCAGGACCGCCACCCAGGCCTCTTCATGTCCACGGGCCCTGCAGAACGAACCCTCACCCCGAAAGTGCCCGCACCAGGGCCTCCGCGGGGCGTGTCAGCCTCCAGCACCTCTCCTGGCCCCTCCCACCTCCGCTGAGGCGGCAGCAGCCCCAGCCCCAGCCCCAGCGAGCCGAGGTGGCCTGCTCTGCCCCACTGCTGGGGCCTAGACCAGGGCTCAGCGGACAGCAGGTGCATAACAAACACTGCCAGTTCCCAACACCGAGCTCGCGCTGCGAGGCTGCCCCTTCTCCTGCCGCAAAACAGAAAACCTGCCCCACACACAAAAAAACCTGCCCAGCAAAAGGAAGAGCGACTCTGGCCTGGGGGGGGGGGGGCGGTTCAGGCTGTCTGCTGGGGCCACCTGGCCTCAGGCCTCAGCTGTCCCTTGCTAGCTAGGCTGTCTGCCCCCAAGAGCAGGGAAATCATACTGGCCCGGGCAGATAAGCAAGAGGGTCGGGCTAGGTGTAGAAGGCCGGCAGCTGGCCCGCCCGCCCGCCCGCCCGCCCACCGGCTCACCTGGTGAATCGGACCTTGCAGATGTTACACTCGTAGGGCTTCTCGCCCGTGTGCGTGCGGATGTGCCGCGGCAGCTTGCCGGCGCCCTGGATCACCTTCTCGCAGATCGGGCACTTCTGGAAGGCCTTGGCGCGGATCTTCTTCTCCCCCTTCTGCGACCACGCCGGGTACACGTCGCCTTCGTGGGCGCCGCTGAAGTACTTCAGGTAGTAGTCCATGACGCCCTTGTCGTCCGCCCGCGACTCCTCGTCGCTGTCCCCGGCCGCCAAGGCCCCCGCCCGGCCCACGGAGGACATCATCTGCTGCAGCAGGGTGCTGGCCGCCAGCCCATCCACGTCCGCCGTGTCCCCGTCCTCACCCTCGGCGGTGCCCGACAGGAAGCCCGGGGAGTCTCCGGGCTCGGGAGCCGCCTCCGACAGGGAGGTCACCTCCTCTTCCCCGGCCCGGCCATAGTGGCCGTTCTGTGTGGCCGCCGGCGGGGCCACTGGGGGTGGAAAGAGGCCGCCAGCCGCGGGGGCGTCCTCGTCCCGCTCCGGCCACAGGCCCGGGTTGCTGTCCCCCTCGTCCCCGTCCCCTGCCGGGGGCCGCTCAGCAGGGGGCCCTGGCCCGTAGAAGTCCAGGCCATTGCAATCGCCTGCGGCCACCGCTGCCACGGCGGCCGCCACAGCCTCCTTGGTGGCGTCCAGGTCGTCATCGGGAGCGCTGAAGGCGGACCACGGGAAGGTGCCTGCGGCGGCGGCTGCAGCGGCGGCAGCGGGGGGCAGGCTGTTCATGGGGTTACTCTGGAAGAACTCCAGGTACTCCTTGGCGCGCAGGAGGTTGCGCTGGTCAATCTGCTCCACCAGGTCCAGCTGCCCCGTGTCGCCGCCCCCGTCGGCGGCCAGGATCTGGCGGTCCAGCAAGTCGGCGCACACATGGCTCACGGCGGGGATCTCCAGCAGGCGCGCGGCGCTCAGGATGTCGCCCACGTTGGCCGTGCTGACGGTGAGCGTGGCGGTGTAGGCGAAGTCCATGAGGGCGGTGAGCGCGTCCGCGCTGACGAAGTCTATCTCGTACACGTTCTGCTGGTCCACCACGGCGCCAGACGTGAACAGCTTCTTGAAGTACTGGCTGCAAGCCGCCAGTACGGAGCGGTGCGTGGGGAACTCGCGGCCCTCTACCAAGATCACCACGTCGCACAGCAGGCCCTGCGTCCGCTGCTCATTCAGCCCGCTCAGGATGTCGCTGCTGTGGTCGGGAAACGGGATCCCGATGGGGCCGTCCACGCCGCCGGCCATCTTCCGCGCCGAGACCTGCAGCCAGGACACGGGGTTCTCATGAAGGCGGTCCCCTGCACGGCACCCCCGCCGCTTCCCCAGCCAGGCCCCAGGGCCATCCCGCGGCCGGATCCACCTGACCCGCAGGAGCCCATGCTGGAAGCCCACCCTGGCTGCTCCCCTTGGGGGAGGCCCTGAAGAGCACCCCAGGGCTGCGGAGCGCCAGCCACAGCGGGCACACAGGGGTCATGCCCATGCAGTTGCCCCCCAGACCTGGACAGATGGCCACCTGCCACAGCTCTCCACGGAGGACCCAGCAGGGCCTGGGGACACTCCCAGGGCCTCTGACCTGGAAGCAGCCCTTGGAGGGGGAGGTCTGAATCTCCCCAGGAAGGGGTGAGGCTGAGCCACAGAGACCCAGGGTTGTGACCTGCTGGGGTCAAGGGCAAGTGGGTGTGGCCCGGGGTGGCAAGGCTGCCTGTGAGCCCCGGGCCGGGCCGGCCGCACAGTGAGTAAGAGGGGAAAGCAGGCCGCGACCTGGGCGGAGCCCCCCAAGTCCACAGCCCGTTTGGCATCCTGCATCTCAGCTGCTCCACGGGCTGCTCCCCCAGGGCAAAGCCTGCACTCTGCGTCTCTCTCTCTCTCTCCAGAAGGGCAGGGGTCCCTGCTCACGAAAGTGGGAACCTGCTCTCCCCGGTCTGTCCATCCGTTCCGCAGTCCCCGGGGCTGACTCACCCGCCCACTCTGGCTTGTGCAACCCTCTGGCTGTGGTCCCCACCCTCTCCCGCGAGCCAACCGCCCCTTACCACCCAGCACAGCCCCAGTGCTCCCCACCCCTCTGGGACGCCACCGCCATCCCTCAGGACAGGGCCTGGCGGGCGATCCCTCGGCCCCCTGAGAACCACAGGCCCCTCCTGTCCCCACCAAGAAGCCCTAAGCCTGGCCCTCCCATACATGAGCCTTTCTCAGGCCAGCAAGGGAGCCCAGGGCTAGCCCAGCCGGACCCAAGGCCACAGCCCCCCTCTCCCCAGCCAGTGGCCCTTGGAGTGGGGTCCCATGGCCGACACAGAGGCCTTTGTGTGGCCAGGGCTCTCTCCTCTCGTGGCCGCCCACCCTCCTCCAGCTGCTCAGCTCTCACAGCTCCGCCTCGGTGGGAAAAGGAGGCTCAGATGTGGCCTGGGGGGGGGGGCTCTTCGCCCTGGTGGGAGCTCCCACCCCCTACCACCATCTGCCGTCTGGCCCCGGCCCCGGGGAGCGTGTGGGCAGATGGGGCTTGGGATCAGACAGGCCCCTGCCCCTGCCCCTGCCCACCCGCACGCTTACAGGGAGGGAAGAAAGCTCTGCCCCAGCCCCCTCCCTCCCTCTCTGGGCTGTCCTCCTCCAGGTGACCCAGGATCCTCTGGTCCCCAGGGGCCTAGAGATTGAGACCCAAAATTGTCCAAGTGACTCAGCTCTCACTGTGGCAGCTCCACCCCTCTGCCAGGCACCCAGCCCTGGGCCGGGGGCTGCCCGGGGCCTGGCGGGGCTCGGAGGCCATGCCTCCCCTCTCCTTTCCCAGGATACTGACTCCCCCAAACCTCCCAAGAGCCTCTTGCCAAACAGCCAGGCCTGGGGAGACACTGACCAGGCAAGTCACACGAGGATCACAGTCCCCACCGACAAGACCCAGAGAGGGCCAGCGTGCCAGCCAACGACACCCAGCAAGGCTGGATGGGCCACAATGGAGGTCCCCACCTATCCAGAGCGGATGCCCTCCCTGCCTGGCCTCCGAGACCCAACCGGGCTGCAGACACCTGACCCGCCCGCCCTCTCTCCAGGAACAAGAGCCACCTGCCCGGCCACCAGGCACCGCCGCCCCGCCTGGGCCTCTCAGGGGCCTCTCCCAACAACCCGCTCCCAGTAGGCCAAGGACGTCAGGGGTTTGGCCAGAGCCCCTCGCGGGTGCCGGAGGCCCAGAAATAAAAAGCACCTGCATGCTGCAGACCCACCGTATGGTTCTGGCTGCTTCTCACGCTGATTCCTAGGGACCCTGGCTAGCACACGGCCTAGGAAGTCCCCATAAACCACCCTAAGTGGTGGCACTGGCCTCCTCCTCGGAGCGGGCCCCAGGCCCAGCTTTCCTGACTCCTGTGTGTCATTTCCATGGTTGCTAAGAAATATGGGTGAGGAGCAAGCTCTGGCAGGTCCGTCCTAGGCTGGAGGTGGGGACCTGCTCTCTAGACCCCAGCCACGCACAGTAGGGCTGCAGCCACCAGTGGAATGAACCAAAGCCCCAGCTCACACCCAGCTGTGCCCACCCGGAGAGCTGCGCCACTCCTGACTCGCGGCTAACCGAAGGTGACTCGCTACAGCTGCTTGCAAAGGCGACAGGACCCGGGCCCTCACCTCGGCTCTCCAGAGCTCCCAGAAAGCACTAGCTGCTTTCAGTTCATCCTCCTCCCGCTACTGACTCAGAGAGGTAGCAGCACCCAGCCAAGGTCACACCGTACACAGACAGCCAGGTGCAGCTGGAGTCAGGCCCTCCCACTGGGGCTGCTGCCCCCCTCCTCAAGGCTGGGGACCAGCTGTAAGGTCAGGGGAGGCGTGTCATCCACGAAGGTCCCGGGGACGGGAGGGGGGTAACCAACAGGAAGGCCTAAGGTGGCCCGGGACCCCCACCCAACAGCGAGCGAGTGTGACCCAAGGCCTTCCCAGTCACCTGCCACGCCACCCCCAGGTAACAGGGGCCCTGGCCCGCCGAGCAGGGCCTCAGCCACTGCCGCCCCCACTCCCAGAGGGGTGAACCTGAGCAGGGCCTTGGTTACCTGGGGTGGGGGGAGGGCGCAGTGGGGGGGGGTGGAAAGAGTCCTCTCCCCACTCAGCAGGCTTTCCCTGAGCACCCACTTTGTACCCAGAAGGCCCAGCCAGGCAGCCCCTTGCAGCTAGAGACGCTTTGGAACATCAGAGAACCAGGCCCACTACCCTTGGCACCGACAGGCCAAGAATTGGGTAACTCAGCTCTCAGAAGCAACAAGGTGGTAAATGCTGCCTCAGAGAGGGTGGGTGGTTAGCCCAAGGTCACACAGCAAAGCCTGGCTCACAGGTGTGGCTGCCAGGCCCCAGCCGAGCTGGACCTGCCCCCTCCCAGCCTGGCTGCCTGTGTTGCAAGATTGGCCGACTGGTTACCCCGCCCTGACCTGGTGCCAATCCTGCCTGGCCCAGTCCCCGGCCCGGGTTTAATGGGACAGGAATGCAGTGTCCCACTCCAAGGCCGGCCACCAGGGGCCCTGCCAGTCTGCCCCCTGCCCACCTCCCTCCAGGGTGGCAGGCCACCCTCAGGCCAGGCAGGCGCACACAGGCCCTCGGCCATTTTGCATGTCCATTTATTGCCCTAAATGGGGAGGGGCTTCCTGCCCGGGCCTTAAAGGGCCAGAGGCAGGAAGGCAGCTGGCCCAGTGGGAAGTGTGCGTGTGTGGGGGTGGGGGCAAGGCGGCCTGGGGATTCCATTTTACCCCCAAGTCCAGGGCGGGGCCGAGGCCCACCCTGTTCCCACGCTCTCTGAGTATACTCAGGGCCAGGAAGCCCAGACCCGAGACCCAGGCTGGGCTCCAAGAGGAACCGGAGCCCTCCAGGAGGGCAAGCAGTGAGCTTCCTGTTCCTGGGGGAAAGCAAGGCCCAAGGCCACACCAGCCAGCCCCGCTGCACTGCCCACCAAGGTGCCCAGCAGAGGCCACCACATGACTTCCAAGGGCCTGCTTGTCACCTGCCATGCCCTCTCCCCAGCCTGAGCAGGTGGAGGGCTCACGACCTGGAAGCTCCCTGGGCAAAGGGGCCCCGGGCCCCGGAGAGCCGGGCAGCCTGAGCTGCCAGGACCTAGGATCTCACCAGATCCCTCAGACACCCTGGCGGGAGGGACCCGGCCTGTTTTCCAGTCAAACCAGAAAGGCGTGGGTGGGGACGCCTCCACCGAGTGGCCATCCCCAGCCTGCTGGGGGGACAGATGGAAGGGCTGGTCTTCTGGCCACGCGCCTCACCCATGCCAGGTTCTGAGCAGGGCACCTGCACTGCAGAGCTCGGAGTCTGGGCCTTCAGGGCTGGGGCTGCTCCCCAAGCCTGGTCTCCTTCATACAGGGACTTCCCCCTCCCCTCCCTGCCCCCAGCTCAGTAAGACAGGGCCTGGAATCATGACCCATTCTGCAACAAAAAACAGGCTCAGAGAGGGGAAGCAACCTGCCCAGAGTCACAGAGCCGAGCTGGAATTTGAACACAGGCCATCTGACTGACTAGTCCAGCCTAACTAGTCTTCCCAGAATGCCTTTGCCCCCTCCCCCAGCGCAGCCCCAGGGAGAGCAGCAGTGGACGAAGTCCCCCACCCTGAGGCCATGGGGCTGAGCTGGGCGTCCCACAGAGCCCCAGAGCTGCCCCAGAGAAGGGCCAGGGAGGTCACCCGGGGGCCGGGGCAGGGCTGGAGTCCAGGGTGCTGGCCCTGGCCCTTGGATCCCCAGGTCGGGTGTGCAAAAGCGACTCGTGCCAGGCTCTGACCCAGTCCAGTAGTCGCCCAACTCGGGTTCCAGGGCCTTGAATGCCACTGAGGTTGAAGGCAATCTCCCAGATTACTCCCGGGGAACTGAGGCAGATGAGAGGCCCCTGGTGCCCACAGCCGCTGAAGGGTGGCTTATATCAGGAATTGGGGCGGGGAAACAGGGGTGCGGGGCGTCTCGGGTGACCAGAGAACCACATCAATGCCCACCCAGCAGCTCCTGGGGTGCCCTGGGCTGGTGAGCTCGTCCCCCACAAGGGAGGCAAGGACAGCCGCAGGAGGACCTCCACTGTGGGGACGAGACTCCAGGGGCCTGGGGCTTGTCCAAGGTCACACAGCAAGAAAACTACATGCCAAATACTACTGAGCCCCTCCCTCAGGCCAACTCTGCTTCAGAGGGGTAACTCTGGAGTCTTGGCTCTGGGGAGGTGACCTCTGTCCCTGCCTGCCTGAAGGAGGGAGGAGCAGGGTCAGGATGGTAGGGTACGGCTTGGCAGGGGTGGGACAGGGCTTCCTATGCACACCAAGTACCCACATGCCAGGCT